AGTGATAACACGTTTGACATGACCTCGTTTGACCTTCAAACTTCTCAGGTCTGGCTTTGAGTCTGTCATTGTGCCTTAACGTTGAGATAACAAGAAAAATACAATTATGGCGCAGGATGAGCAATGTTACCACAATCTTGTGAATAACAACCTTATAACTATATGATCTGGTGAAGGAACTATCAATCACTTGCGACAGTCCAGAGATCTTCAACCAGTGAAGCGACACAATCAGCAGCTCGGAAAGTGTCAGTTTGTGAGTGTGAATGAGACGACACAATCAGCAGCTTGGATAGTGTCAGTTTGAGGCTTGAGTTTGCGAGTGTGAATGTGACACGAGCAGTCAGTAACAGAGTATGTTTGAACTGAACCACTTCAGGTTCTGCGTGTTTGATAATGACGAACAATATCACCCAAGGAAATAGTTGACACAGAGGGAAGTTTGGACGATGAACAGTGAGTTACCATGAGTTTTACAATTTTCTTCTATGTAAGGATTTTTGGATGAATGGAAATTATTATGCCACAGTGATAGCCAATTTGATTAGTCTCGCTTACCTTGGTATGCGCTTCTTGAATGTTTGTACAGAACTCAGTAATTCTTGCCCTCGTGTCCAAATCCTTGTAAAACTCAGTGGCTTTACGCTCAAAGTAAACCTTTAGTATGGCTTCTTGATCGGGTTGATATCTGTATCGTCACTATTCTTGAGTTTGCTGGTTCTCGTGGTTTCACACAGCGTTTAAACAACCACGAGGCTTCCAGACTGTATCCCTGCCCGTGATTCCAGTATGTATCTGCCACTTTTTCCAGTGCCGCACCCTGCCGCGCAGCTCATTTGAACAGCTGAACAGCTGATTTTGGCATCGTGCCAGTCACGTGACAACGGTGTTCATGGTCAAGTCGGCACGCACTTCTACGACCGATGCGGTTAGAGCCACACTTCCTGCCATCTAGCGGCTACCAAGCGAGACTAAATGGGCAAATTTGGCATAGGTGGCGCTGGTGAGGAATCAAGGCTAGGAAATATGCATGGAAAGGATGTGAGGAGTGGAAGACGGTGAATAATTCTCACACCCCCCCCCCCGTGACCTGACCTCTGTGACCTGACCTGGTATCAGTGACCTCAAATAGCAAAATATGTGTTTGAAGAACATTTCCCCATCGATGATTTTCAATGAAATGCATTTTACTCGATTTTACAACGCATTTCTTGAAGTGCCTGTAAACGGTGAAAATTGGACCTTTGACCTGACCTGTGACGTCATCGGTTTGACCTAGGTCAATAAAATTGGGTCACAAGGTAGTTCCCCGTTGGGGCTATCCAACGCAGTTTACCGCTTGTCGCTATGTTGCGTGGTTCTCGAGATCCCAACCGGGCGCGTTGCTCGGCAGAGCCCAACGGGGCGCGGGTTAAGCTGAAAACGGAAAAGGACTACACTTACTTGACTCTGGATAATAATTGACTCGATTCGTTACCGGTCACCAAAAGCACACAGTCCCCAAGCTCGATAGCTAAGGGATATCTTATAAAAGTATAATGCTTGTATGTCATTAGAATGTACTTTAAGCCAGAAAATAAATGTTCGGGTAATTCTGGGACACCCTGTATGTGTATAATATTTTTGGAGGACATAACCATCCGAGAATAACAGCCTTTTGAACGACTAGCTGGTGCGACAGCCGACATGTGTGCCGGAAAGCAGCTGAAAACGCGCTCAAAGCTATTTATATTGGCAAGTAGCTCCCAAACAAGAAATACCCAGTTTCAAAAATAGCTGATCATCGCGAAATAGGGCAAAACATCAGTTAACATTTTTTTATAGTATCTATAATGCAATTTTAAGGAAAATAGCACAAAATATTTCATTTTTAGGACCATTGACCCCCAAAAATCGTCAATAAATGTACAGTTTGATCTTTGAACTTTTCAAGAGGCAAACTGAAGCGAATAGGTTTCTTTCAGACAAAAAAAGAAGCTTATACACAGGTCTGAGCTGCCTACAAAGCAAAAGCTCTCCTGTTGGGGAAAGACTCAACAAGATAGTGCATATTAATGCATGGGCAATGACGAGCGTTTGGAATCTACATAGTTTGCACAATGTGTCTCAGAAACAGATGGGAGATATAATCTGCTAAACAATACGCTGCGGAAAAAAATTATCCTTGAGACTTCCGATCTTTTCAGGAATGGGGTCGTTTTGAAGAGAAAAATAGTGATTGGGGTGTCGGTGCCAGTCCTTGTGATTGAAATGGCGCCAGAGAATAGGCCTACAAAATACTCATGGAAAGTGTCGATGCAAGCTGTTTGCTGTCTCAAGAGACAGCTGTCTCAGTGAGAAACAGTTGCTGCCTGGAAGCTCGTTAAGTCTAACTCGGACGCAGAGACTGCAGGAGATTCCCCTGTGAGAGCTCAAAAGCAGGAAACCTTTAATCAGCCTCCGGTAGCTGTTGGAGCGACGCAAATCGTTATTGGCACATATTTTTGGAGCTACAGCGCAGGATTTGGTATCAAGCATTCCTAATTAGTTGTCAAAGCATGCATCTTTGTCAAGCTTACACATAGACATCAAAGCCTTATATTTTCGGCTGGTTCTTATATGTTTAATTGGCGTTGGAAATGTGTCAACGAACTTTTGAGACACCCTGTAGAAGATAACACTGAACCTGCTATCATGTTTGATAAAAACGCAAAGTTGTAGGTATTATTTGTGCGTCTTTCAAACTTTTTTGTAGCATCCGTCTTCGCGAATCTGACTCTAAAATGCGGTTCAGCTTTCCAAAATTCACGGCGAAGAAGCTCACTCTATTCACGGATCTGTCGCAAGCTTGTTTGTTTTAAAAAAAATGTCATTTTTCAACGATAAATTTTGAAATATATTACAAAAACGTTGTGAGGCAGGTTCGTGTACGGACCGCCTAGGGGCATACGCGTGCAAATTTTCTTTCGTTTTTGCGATTTATGAATTTATCTGTATATAGTAGGTTTCACTTATGACGCTCGCCTGACTCAGTCTCGGCTGCTTGCGACGTCGTGACAAGTAATTCACGGGACCTTGGCGAGGTCACGAAGGCCTGCAGTTGGCACATTCTTGTTGGCCTGCCCATTCTTTCTACATTTGTTGTGCAATGCATTCTTGTCGAAAGGAATCGAGTGCAATGCTCCACTGCCAATTTCTTTTGGTAAATTTTTGGTAATGCCTGGTAATTCATCAAACTTTGCGGAGTGCACGGAAGTGCCCCACCCCTTGCACGAAAGTGCCCCCATACCTGGGGCAGTTTCGTGCAAACGTAGAGAGTAACTAGAAGTCATTTTTTTCTAATAGAAGCTTAGCAGGCTTCTAACTGCCATATTTTTCGTTGGATAAACTAGAAATTCACCATACATACCTACTCACAAATGTATGTTCTTTCGCATAGTGAAAGAAAAAAGGAAATCGGCCGGTAACTTTTTGAGTTATCGGCGTGTAAACGCAAAAAAGTCGCTCATATGGCAAATTTGACCACATTTGACCTCATTTGACCTTGAAGATATTGACCTAGGCTCGTGAAATTTACACACAACAGAGTTCCCCAGGGTCCCCACTCCCCACCTACCCTCCGAATTTCGTTTTTCTAGCTTTCTAGCTGGGAGCTGAGATCTTAGGGGGGGGGGCGACATCCGCCCCCCTTCCACTGGGCGTAAACTCGCAACCCTTCCATTGCGCGTGTTAAGAATCGCTAGACTTGCGCTGACGTCACAAATTCCAAGGGGGCATTCAAATGCATTAGCTCCTTAGAATTCGAAAACTGCAACTTTGTAATTAAATGTCTCTGATTAAAGCATTGCTCGTTGCTGTGAGTGCCCAAACCGGTAATTATAAACCAGGGACCCGAATTTGACTAACTATCTCTACTCAAAACTAATGTTAAAGTGCGATGGTCACTTAAAGAACGTCAGTGGTGGGTACGCGCGCACAGATCTTGCAGCGTTGGAAAAAAGTGCGAAACCATGTCTGAAGTGAGGCCGATTTGCCAAATAATGACAGGGCGCCATGAGGCCGTGCATCTGGCCATGCTGAGATGTGACGCAGGGACTGGCACCTTTAACACCTACTCTGAGCACAGTCGGAGCTGTAGATGTGACTCAGTTTGGCGCCATGGTGCCATTGGTTTGGCCGTGTCACGAGGGGTCGGCTTGTGTGTTATTCGAGTCTACCAGATGACCAGTACAGAAGTTATTGACATTTTTCTCAGAACTCCTTTTATTGGGACGCATGATATAATGTGACCTCTTGTGACCTGTCCTAGGAAGGCGATCTGATGTAACTTGCCACGTGTGACCTCATGTGACCTGCTCCAATTGACCTGATGTGACCTATCCCAAGTGACCCGGTGTGACGTCTGTGCCAGGTGACCCGGTGTGACGTCTGTGCCAGGTGACCCGGTGTGACGTCTGTGCCAGGTGACCTGGTGTGACCTGATGTGACCTGTCCCAAGTGATCCGGTGTGACGTGTGCCAGGTGACCTGGTGTGACCTGATGTGACGTGTGCCAGGTGACCTGGTGTGACCTGATGTGACGTGTCCCAGGTGACCTGGTGTGACCTGTGCCAGGTGACCTGGTGTGACCTGATGTGACGTGTCCCAGGTGACCTGGTGTGACCTGATGTGACGTGTCCCAGGTGACCTGGTGTGACCTGATGTGACGTGTCTCAGGTGACCTGGTGCGACCTGATGTGACGTGTGCCAGGTGACCTGATGTGACCTGATGTGACGTGTACCAGGTGACCTGGTGTGACCTGATGTGACGTGTGCCAGGTGACCTGGTGTGACCTGATGTGACGTGTCCCAGGTGACCTGGTGTGACCTGATGTGACGTGTCCCAGGTGACCTGGTGTGACCTGATGTGACGTGTCCCAGGTGACCTGGTGTGACCTGATGTGACGTGTCCCAGGTGACCTGGTGTGACCTGATGTGACGTGTCCCAGGTGACCTGGTGTGACCTGATGTGACGTGTCCCAGGTGACCTGGTGGCGATGGACGCCGAGTTCGTGACGCTGAACCAGGAGGAGGCGGAGATCCGCAGTGACGGCACCAAGGCCACGCTGAAGCCCTCCCATATGTCGGTCGCCCGGATCTCCGTCGTGCGTGGGTGAGTGGACTCGGCGGCGGCACGGAGAGGGTCAGCGGCGGCACGGGGAGGGACAGCGGCGGCACGGAGAGGGACAGCGGCGGCACGGAGAGGGACAGCGGCGGCACGGAGAGGGACGGCGGCGGGCGCAGGGAGGGACAGTGGCGGGCGCAGGGAGGGACAGCGGCGGGCTCGCCTACGACCCAAATCATTGCCGACCACCGCCGACCATCACCGAATGCTGCAGGGTTGTAAGTGTTACAGGAGCGCCATAATCATAGACTAGAGCGTCCAGTCAAATGTGGACCTCGCAAATGACTAAGTTGCAAGTCTGTGGTCGCGGTGCACTGACTCTGTCCGGCGGTACCTACTGTGACTCTGACCCTGTACCCGCTCTCGGTCTGTGGTGGCGGTACTCTAATGTACGCCACTGACTCTGTCCGGCGGTACCTACGGTGACTCTGACTCTGTCCCCGCTCTCGGTCTGTCGGTCTGTCCGGCGATACTGTGACTCTGACTCTGTCCGGCGGTACCTACTGTGGCTCTGACCCTGTCCGGCGGTACCTACTGTGGCTCTGACCCTGTCCTCGCTCTCGGTCTGTGGTGGCGGTACTCTGACTGTACGCCACTGACTCTGTCCGGCGGTACTGTGACTCTGACTCTGTCCCCGCTCTCGGTCTGTCGGCAGACACGGCCCCCGCGAGGGTCTGGTGGTACTGTGACTCTGACTCTGTCCCCGCTCTCGGTCTGTGGTGGCGGTACTCTGACTGTACGCCACTGACTCTGTCCGGCGGTACTGTGACTGACCCTGTCCCCGCTCTCGGTCTGTCGGCAGACACGGCCCCCTCTGACCCTGTCCCCGCTCTCGGTCTGTCGGCAGACACGGCCCCCTCTGACTCTGTCCCCGCTCTCGGTCTGTCGGCAGACACGGCCCCCTCTGACTCTGTACCCGCTCTCGGTCTGTCGGCAGACACGGCCCCCGCGAGGGTCTGGTGGTACTGTGACTCTGACTCTGTCCCCGCTCTCGGTCTGTCGGCAGACACGGCCCCCTCTGACTCTGTACCCGCTCTCGGTCTGTCGGCAGACACGGCCCCCGCGAGGGTCTGGTGGTACTGTGACTCTGACTCTGTCCCCGCTCTCGGTCTGTCGGCAGACACGGCCCCCTCTGACTCTGTTCCCTCTCGGTCTGTCGGCAGACACGGCCCCCGCGAGGGTCTGGTGGTACTGTGGCTCTGACTCTGTCCGGCGGTACTGTGACTCTGACTCTGTCCGGCGGTACCTACTGTGACTCTGACTCTGTCCCTGCTCTCGGTCTGTCGGCAGACACGGCCCCCGCGAGGGTCTGGTGGTACTGTGACTCTGACTGTCCCCGCTCTCGGTCTGTCGGCAGACACGGCCCCCGCGAGGGTCTGGTGGTACTGTGACTCTGACTCTGTCCCCGCTCTCGGTCTGTCGGCAGACACGGCCCCCGCGAGGGTCTGGTGGTACTGTGACTCTGACCCTGTCCCCGCTCTCGGTCTGTCGGCAGACACGGCCCCCTCTGACTGTCCCCGCTCTCGGTCTGTCGGCAGACACGGCCCCCTCTGACTCTGTCCCCGCTCTCGGTCTGTCGGCAGACACGGCCCCCTCTGACCCTGTCCCCGCTCTCGGTCTGTCGGCAGACACGGCCCCCTCTGACCCTGTCCCCGCTCTCGGTCTGTCGGCAGACACGGCCCCCGCGAGGGTCTGGTGGTACTGTGGCTCTGACCCTGTCCCCGCTCTCGGTCTGTCGGCAGACACGGCCCCCTCTGACTCTGTCCCCGCTCTCGGTCTGTCGGCAGACACGGCCCCCGCGAGGGTCTGGTGGTACTGTGGCTCTGACCCTGTCCCCGCTCTCGGTCTGTCGGCAGACACGGCCCCCTCTGACTCTGTTCCCGCTCTCGGTCTGTCGGCAGACACGGCCCCCGCGAGGGTCTGGTGGTACTGTGACTCTGACTCTGTCCCCGCTCTCGGTCTGTCGGCAGACACGGCCCCCTCTGACCCTGTCCCCGCTCTCGGTCTGTCGGCAGACACGGCCCCCTCTGACTCTGTCCCCGCTCTCGGTCTGTCGGCAGACACGGCCCCCTCTGACCCTGTCCCCGCTCTCGGTCTGTCGGCAGACACGGCCCCCGCGAGGGTCTGGTGGTACTGTGGCTCTGACTCTGTCCCCGCTCTCGGTCTGTCGGCAGACACGGCCCCCTCTGACCCTGTCCCCGCTCTCGGTCTGTCGGCAGACACGGCCCCCGCGAGGGTCTGGCGGTACTGTGACTCTGACCCTGTCCCCGCTCTCGGTCTGTCGGCAGACACGGACCCCTCTGACTCTGTCCCCGCTCTCGGTCTGTCGGCAGACACGGCCCCCTCTGACCCTGTCCCCGCTCTCGGTCTGTCGGCAGACACGGCCCCCTCTGACCCTGTCCCCGCTCTCGGTCTGTCGGCAGACACGGCCCCCTCTGACCCTGTCCCCGCTCTCGGTCTGTCGGCAGACACGGCCCCCTCTGACCCTGTCCCCGCTCTCGGTCTGTCGGCAGACACGGCCCCCTCTGACTCTGTCCCCGCTCTCGGTCTGTCGGCAGACACGGCCCCCTCTGACTCTGTCCCCGCTCTCGGTCTGTCGGCAGACACGGCCCCCTCTGACCCTGTCCCCGCTCTCGGTCTGTCGGCAGACACGGCCCCCGCGAGGGTCTGGTGGTACTGTGGCTCTGACCCTGTCCCCGCTCTCGGTCTGTCGGCAGACACGGCCCCCTCTGACTCTGTCCCCGCTCTCGGTCTGTCGGCAGACACGGCCCCCGCGAGGGTCTGGTGGTACTGTGACTCTGACTCTGTCCCCGCTCTCGGTCTGTCGGCAGACACGGCCCCCTCTGACCCTGTCCCCGCTCTCGGTCTGTCGGCAGACACGGCCCCCTCTGACTCTGTCCCCGCTCTCGGTCTATCGGCAGACACGGCCCCCGCGAGGGTCTGGCGGTACTGTGACTCTGACTCTGTCCCCGCTCTCGGTCTGTCGGCAGACACGCCCCCCTCTGACTCTGTCCCCGCTCTCGGTCTGTCGGCAGACACGGCCCCCGCGAGGGTCTGGTGGTACTGTGGCTCTGACCCTGTCCCCGCTCTCGGTCTGTCGGCAGACACGGCCCCCTCTGACTCTGTCCCCGCTCTCGGTCTATCGGCAGACACGGCCCCCTCTGACCCTGTCCCCGCTCTCGGTCTGTCGGCAGACACGGCCCCCTCTGACCCTGTCCCCGCTCTCGGTCTGTCGGCAGACACGGCCCCCTCTGACTCTGTTCCCGCTCTCGGTCTGTCGGCAGACACGGCCCCCGCGAGGGTCTGGTGGTACTGTGGCTCTGACTCTGTCCCCGCTCTCGGTCTGTCGGCAGACACGGCCCCCGCGAGGGTCTGGTGGTACTGTGGCTCTGACTCTGTCCCCGCTCTCGGTCTGTCGGCAGACACGGCCCCCGCGAGGGTCTGGTGGTACTGTGGCTCTGACTCTGTCCCCGCTCTCGGTCTGTCGGCAGACACGGCCTCCGCGAGGGTCTGGTGGTACTGTGGCTCTGACTCTGTCCCCGCTCTCGGTCTGTCGGCAGACACGGCCCCCTCTGACTCTGTCCCCGCTCTCGGTCTGTCGGCAGACACGGCCCCCTCTGACCCTGTCCCCGCTCTCGGTCTGTCGGCAGACACGGCCCCCTCTGACTCTGTCCCCGCTCTCGGTCTGTCGGCAGACACGGCCCCCTCTGACTCTGTCCCCGCTCTCGGTCTGTCGGCAGACACGGCCCCCTCTGACTCTGTCCCCGCTCTCGGTCTGTCGGCAGACACGGCCCCCTCTGACTCTGTCCCCGCTCTCGGTCTGTCGGCAGACACGGCCCCCTCTGACTCTGTCCCCGCTCTCGGTCTGTCGGCAGACACGGCCCCCTCTGACCCTGTCCCCGCTCTCGGTCTGTCGGCAGACACGGCCCCCTCTGACTCTGTCCCCGCTCTCGGTCTGTCGGCAGACACGGCCCCCTCTGACCCTGTCCCCGCTCTCGGTCTGTCGGCAGACACGGCCCCCTCTGACTCTGTCCCCGCTCTCGGTCTGTCGGCAGACACGGCCCCCTCTGACTCTGTCCCCGCTCTCGGTCTGTCGGCAGACACGGCCCCCGCGAGGGTCTGGTGGTACTGTGACTCTGACTCTGTCCCCGCTCTCGGTCTGTCGGCAGACACGGCCCCCTCTGACCCTGTCCCCGCTCTCGGTCTGTCGGCAGACACGGCCCCCTCTGACCCTGTCCCCGCTCTCGGTCTGTCGGCAGACACGGCCCCCGCGAGGGTCTGGCGTTTATCGACGACTACATTTCCACCCAGGAGCAGGTGTTTGACTACCTTACCAAGTTTTCGGGCATCAAGCCGGGCGACCTGGACGCCAACTTCACCTCCAAGCACCTGACCACGCTGAAGTCGACCTATCTGAAGCTGCGCTTCCTGGTCGACAGCGGCGTGAAGTTTGTCGGACACGGCCTGAAAAACGACTTCAGGTGCGCCGGTTAAGCAGTCAGTCCGAGCCGCAGCGCCGGGGCGTTCCACGACAGATCGACCCAAAAATCGCAAAATAACACCCTTCCTCTCACATTTTGATAGCGTTTCGTCTATTGGGTTATCTTACCCGGCGATTTGTGTTGACATTTTCAACCGCATCCCGACATACTTTGGGAGATATTGTCCCAGGCAACTTCATGACGACCTTAAAAACTATAAATTTCATCGGCAGATATTTATAGTTTTTTTTTTTTCAAAAGGAATTTGGTTCCAAGTAGCTTTTTGGACTTTGCAAGTGCTTTAGCCAGTAAAGTGGCAACAACTGAACCTGAGAAAATCGAACGTTGCCAAAATTATGCATGTGAATTATTCCCGATAAATTCTATGCGTGCGTTTTGGGCTATAGGTCGTTTTCTTTTTCTTCTAAGTTCGACCCTCGACGTAAAGGTTTCTCGAACACAGCACGAGAATTGCTAGCTGATTACTGAGAAAACTGGTTGGCGTACACGGCTCACATTGATTTCGCAGACGATCAACTTTTGTCAAAATTATTTTTACCTGGCTTGTATTTCCCAGGCTCTCAGCTCGTAGTTGCCTTTGTTTACAACTTCACAGGTAACCGCAGGTTGTTTGAAATAGGCAACACTATTCGTTAGAATTGTGTTTTCTATTGATACGGTATGTCTAAAAAGTATGTCCCCTGGCTCTCCCACGGTAGGCGAATCGGGAACTTGGCTGAATCCGCCACCGAGGTAGGGAGGGTCGGAAAGGGGAAGCCGGGCTCCCTCGCTGACCTCCGTCCTGCCCTCAGGCGAGGACCGATTTCCTCGGCCCGTAGCGGCCGAGCGGTGAAGCCGAGCTCGCGGGGCGCGACTCCATTGGTCCAGTGTTATAAATGGTGTGCTATTCTTTTCACGGCATTAGGTAATATTGATAGTGATACCAACAGTCGATGTGGTGAAATATGTACAGTCCAAAACAAACGAAAACACAACTGTTTCAAAATACGCCCTCCCATTTCAATAAAGCCGCCCATTTCTATACAGTGTGTAGTTTCTTAGGACTTAAAATGCCAAAACGAAGATATTATATACCCAACTTTGTTAAATCGGCCGCTAGGATCCCGTCAATATACGAAGGACTTAACCCTCTCGTGTATTAATGTTTTGCCAGTCGCGAACATATAGGGGGATCCCCCTTGCCGTTTACCCCTCATCGAGCCAGAGCTTCGTGGAAAAAAGGAGAGTGTTGCCCGTGACGAGAGGAAGCCGATGCTGCCCAATTTTTAGGTCTAGATCATTGTTTGACCTTCCAGCCCCCCCCCCCCCCCCCAGTGAGGCGTGGCTTAATAAGAGTGACTAACGAATAACGACTATTGGAAGGTTATCGGAGGGTTTTAACACAAATTTGACTTTGAACCCCCCCCCCCATATCCCAAATATCTGGCGATGCCTACACTAACGCTCAGCTGGCCGTGTTTCAGGGTGATCAATCTGACGGTGCCACCGGACCAGGTCATCGACACGGTCCACCTGTTCCACCGCTCCCACCAGAGGATGGTCTCGCTGCGCTTTCTGGCCTGGCACTTCCTAAGTGAGTGGCGCCGACAGCCAGCCGATGCCTCGCCTCGGCCCACTCACCAACGGGCCATGAGGCACAACCCACGGAACGGAAACATAACGGCACATGTCCGTGTCCGTGTGCCGCCTGTGACCGGTGTCCGTGTCCGTGTGCCGCCTGTGACCGTTGTCCGTGTGCCGCCTGTGACCGGTGTCTGTGTCCGTGTGCCGCCTGTGACCGGTGTCCGTGTCCGTGTGCCGCCTGTGACCGTTGTCCGTGTGCCGCCTGTGACCGGTGTCTGTGTCCGTGTGCCGCCTGTGACCGGTGTCTGTGTCCGTGTGCCGCCTGTGACCGGTGTCTGTATGCCGCCTGTGACCGGTGTCTGTGTCCGTGTGCCGCCTGTGACCGGTGTCTGTGTCCGTGTGCCGCCTGTGACCGGTGTCTGTGTGCCGCCTGTGACCGGTGTCTGTGTCCGTGTGCCGCTTGTGACCGGTGTCTGTGTCCGTGTGCCGCCTGTGACCGGTGTCTGTGTCCGTGTGCCGCCTGTGACCGGTGTCCATGTCCGTGGGCCGCCTGTGACCGGTGTCTGTGTCGGTGTGCCGCCTGTGACCGGTGTCGGTGTGCCGCCTGTGACCGGTGTCTGTGTCGGTGTGCCGCCTGTGACCGGTGTCCGTGTCCGTGTGCCGCCTGTGACCGGTGTCTGTGTCCGTGTGCCGCCTGTGACCGGTGTCTGTGTCCGTGTGCCGCCTGTGACCGGTGTCCATGTCCGTGGGCCGCCTGTGACCGGTGTCTGTGTCGGTGTGCCGCCTGTGACCGGTGTCGGTGTGCCGCCTGTGACCGGTGTCTGTGTCGGTGTGCCGCCTGTGACCGGTGTCCGTGTCCGTGTGCCGCCTGTGACCGGTGTCTGTGTCGGTGTGCCGCCTGTGACCGGTGTCGGTGTGCCGCCTGTGACCGGTGTCGGTGTGCCGCCTGTGACCGGTGTCTGTGTCGGTGTGCCGCCTGTGACCGGTGTCTGTGTCGGTGTGCCGCCTGTGACCGGTGTCCGTGTCCGTGTGCCGCCTGTGACCGGTGTCTGTGTCCGTGTGCCGCCTGTGACCGGTGTCTGTGTCCGTGTGCCGCCTGTGACCGGTGTCTGTGTCCGTGTGCCGCCTGTGACCGGTATCTGTGTCCGTGTGCCGCCTGTGACCGGTATCTGTGTCCGTGTGCCGCCTGTGACCGTTGTCGGTATGCCGCCTGTGACTGGTGTCTGTGTCTGTGTCCGCCTGTGACCGGTGTCTGTGTCGGTGTGCCGCCTGTGACCGGTGTCTGTGTCTGTGTGCCACCTGTGACCGGTGTCCGTGTGCCGCCTGTGACCGGTGTCTGTGTCCGTGTGCCGCTTGTGACCGGTGTCCGTGTCCGTGTGCCGCCTGTGACCGGTGTCTGTGTCTGTGTGCCGCCTGTGACCGGTGTCTGTGTCTGTGTGCCGCCTGTGACCGGTGTATGTGTGCCGCCTGTGACCGGTGTCTGTGTCCGTGTGCCGCCTGTGACCGGTATCTGTGTCCGTGTGCCGCCTGTGACCGGTGTCTGTGTCCGTGTGCCGCCTGTGACCAGTGTCTGTGTCCGTGTGCCGCCTGTGACCGGTGTCTGTGTGCCGCCTGTGACCGGTGTCCGTGTCCGTGTGCCGCCTGTGACCGGTGTCTGTGTCCGTGTGCCGCTTGTGACCGGTGTCTGTGTCCGTGTGCCGCCTTTGACCGGTGTCTGTGTCCGTGTGCCGCCTGTGACCGGTGTCTGTGTCCGTGTGCCGCCTGTGACCGGTGTCTGGTCCGTGTGCCGCCTGTGACCGGTGTCTGTGTCCGTGTGCCGCCTGTGACCGGTGTCCGTGTCTGTGTGCCGCCTGTGACCGCTGTCGGTATGCCGCCTGTGACCGGTGTTTGTGTTCGTGTGCCGCCTGTGACCGGTGTCCGTGTGCCGCCTGTGACCGGTGTCTGTGTCCGTGTGCCGCCTGTGACCGGTGTCTGTGTCGGTGTGCCGCCTGTGACCGGTGTCCGTGTCTGTGTGCCGCCTGTGACCGGTGTCTGTGTCCGTGTGCCGCCTGTGACCGGTGTCTGTGTCCGTGTGCCGCCTGTGACCGGTGTATGTGTGCCGCCTGTGACCGGTGTCTGTGTTCGTGTGCCGCCTGTGACCGGTGTCGGTGTGCCGCCTGTGACCGGTGTCTGTGTTCGTGTGCCGCCTGTGACCGGTGCCCGTGTGCCGCCTGTGACCGGTGTCTGTGTCTGTGTGCCGCCTGTGACCGGTGTCTGTGTCCGTGTGCCGCCTGTGACCGGTGTCCGTGTCTGTGTGCCGCCTGTGACCGTTGTCGGTATGCCGCCTGTGACCGGTGTCTGTGTCCGTGTGCCGCCTGTGACCGGTGTCCGTATGCCGCCTGTGACCGGTGTCTGTGTCCGTGTGCCGCCTGTGACCGGTGTCTGTGTCCGTGCGCCGCCTGTGACCGGTGTCTGTGTCTGTGTGCCGCCTGTGACCGGTGCCCGTGCGCCGCCTGTGACCGGTGTCTGTGCCCGTGTCCCGCCTGTGACCGGTGTCTGTGTCCGTGCCCCGCCTGTGACCGGTGTCTGTGTCCGCGTGCCGCCTGTGACCGGTGTCCGTGTCTGTGTGCCGCCTGTGACCGGTGTATGTGTCCGTGTGCCGCCTGTGACCGGTGTCTGTGTCCGTGTGCCGCCTGTGACCGGTGTCCGTGTGCCGCCTGTGACCGGTGTCTGTGTCCGTGTGCCGCCTGTGACCGGTGTCCGTGGGCCGCCTGTGACCGGTGTCTGTGTCCGTGTGCCGCTTGTGACCGGTGTCTGTGTCCGTGTGCCGCCTTTGACCGGTGTCTGTGTCCGTGTGCCGCCTGTGACCGGTGTCTGTGTCCGTGTGCCGCCTGTGACCGGTGTCCGTGTCTGTGTGCCGCCTGTGAACGTTGTCGGTATGCCGCCTGTGACCGGTGTTTGTGTCCGTGTGCCGCCTGTGACCGGTGTCTGTGTTCGTGTGCCGCCTGTGACCGGTGCCCGTGGGCCGCCTGTGACCGGTGTCTGTGTCCGTGTGCCGCCTGTGACCGGTGTCCGTGTGCCGCCTGTGACCGGTGTCTGTGTGCCGCCTGTGACCGTTGTCGGTGTGCCGCGTGTGACCGGTGTCCGTGTGCCGCCTGTGACCGGTGTCTGTGTCCGTGTGCCGCCCGTGACCGGTGTCTGTGTCCGTGTGCCGCCTGTGACCGGTGTCTGTGTCGGTGTGCCGCCTGTGACCGGTGTCTGTGTCTGTGTGCCGCTTGTGACCGGTGCCTGTGTGCCGCCTGTGACCGGTGTCTGTGTGCCGCCTGTGACCGGTGTCTGTATGCCGCCTGTGACCGGTGTCTGTGTCCGTGTGCCGCCTGTGACCGGTGTCTGTGTCCGTGTGCCGCCTGTGACCGGTGTCTGTGTCGGTGTGCCGCCTGTGACCGGTGTCTGTGTCCGTGTGCCGCCTGTGACCGGTGTCCGTGTCCGTGTGCCGCCTGTGACCGGTGTCTGTGTCCGTGTGCCGCCTGTGACCGGTGTCTGTGTCCGTGTGCCGCCTGTGACCGGTGTCTGTGTCCGTGTGCCGCCTGTGACCGGTATCTGTGTCCGTGTGCCGCCTGTGACCGGTATCTGTGTCCGTGTGCCGCCTGTGACCGTTGTCGGTATGCCGCCTGTGACTGGTGTCTGTGTCTGTGTCCGCCTGTGACCGGTGTCTGTGTCGGTGTGCCGCCTGTGACCGGTGTCTGTGTCTGTGTGCCACCTGTGACCGGTGTCCGTGTGCCGCCTGTGACCGGTGTCTGTGTCCGTGTGCCGCTTGTGACCGGTGTCCGTGTCCGTGTGCCGCCTGTGACCGGTGTCTGTGTCTGTGTGCCGCCTGTGACCGGTGTCTGTGTCTGTGTGCCGCCTGTGACCGGTGTATGTGTGCCGCCTGTGACCGGTGTCTGTGTCCGTGTGCCGCCTGTGACCGGTGTCCGTGTGCCGCCTGTGACCGGTGTCTGTGTTCGTGTGCCGCCTGTGACCGGTGCCCGTGTGCCGCCTGTGACCGGTGTCTGTGTCTGTGTGCCGCCTGTGACCGGTGTCTGTGTCCGTGTGCCGCCTGTGACCGGTGTCCGTGTCTGTGTGCCGCCTGTGACCGTTGTCGGTATGCCGCCTGTGACCGGTGTCTGTGTCCGTGTGCCGCCTGTGACCGGTGTCTGTGTCCGTGCGCCGCCTGTGACCGGTGTCTGTGTCTGTGTGCCGCCTGTGACCGGTGCCCGTGCGCCGCCTGTGACCGGTGTCTGTGCCCGTGTCCCGCCTGTGACCGGTGTCTGTGTCCGTGCCCCGCCTGTGACCGGTGTCTGTGTCCGCGTGCCGCCTGTGACCGGTGTCCGTGTCTGTGTGCCGCCTGTGACCGGTGTATGTGTCCGTGTGCCGCCTGTGACCGGTGTCTGTGTCCGTGTGCCGCCTGTGACCGGTGTCCGTGTGCCGCCTGTGACCGGTGTCTGTGTCCGTGTGCCGCCTGTGACCGGTGTCCGTGGGCCGCCTGTGACCGGTGTCTGTGTCCGTGTGCCGCTTGTGACCGGTGTCTGTGTCCGTGTGCCGCCTTTGACCGGTGTCTGTGTCCGTGTGCCGCCTGTGACCGGTGTCTGTGTCCGTGTGCCGCCTGTGACCGGTGTCCGTGTCTGTGTGCCGCCTGTGAACGTTGTCGGTATGCCGCCTGTGACCGGTGTTTGTGTCCGTGTGCCGCCTGTGACCGGTGTCTGTGTTCGTGTGCCGCCTGTGACCGGTGCCCGTGGGCCGCCTGTGACCGGTGTCTGTGTCCGTGTGCCGCCTGTGACCGGTGTCCGTGTGCCGCCTGTGACCGGTGTCTGTGTGCCGCCTGTGACCGTTGTCGGTGTGCCGCGTGTGACCGGTGTCCGTGTGCCGCCTGTGACCGGTGTCTGTGTCCGTGTGCCGCCCGTGACCGGTGTCTGTGTCCGTGTGCCGCCTGTGACCGGTGTCTGTGTCCGTGTTCCGCCTGTGACCGGTGTCTGTGTCCGTGTGCCGCCTGTGACCGGTGTCTGTGTCGGTGTGCCGCCTGTGACCGGTGTCTGTGTCTGTGTGCCGCTTGTGACCGGTGCCTGTGTGCCGCCTGTGACCGGTGTCTGTGTGCCGCCTGTGACCGGTGTCTGTATGCCGCCTGTGACCGGTGTCTGTGTCCGTGTGCCGCCTGTGACCGGTGTCTGTGTCCGTGTGCCGCCTGTGACCGGTGTCTGTGTCGGTGTGCCGCCTGTGACCGGTGTCTGTGTCCGTGTGCCGCCTGTGACCGGTGTCTGTGTCCGTGTGCCGCTTGTGACCGGTGTCTGTGTCGGTGTGCCGCCTGTGACCGGTGTCTGTGTCGGTGTGCCGCCTGTGACCGGTGTCTGTGTCCGTGTGCCGCCTGTGACCGGTGTCTGTGTCCGTGCCCCGCCTGTGACCGGTGTCTGTGTCGGTGTGCCGCCTGTGACCGGTGTCCGTGTCTGTGTGCCGCCTGTGACCGCTGTCGGTATGCCGCCTGTGACCGGTGTTTGTGTTCGTGTGCCGCCTGTGACCGGTGTCCGTGTGCCGCCTGTGACCGGTGTCTGTGTTCGTGTGCCGCCTGTGACCGGTGCCCGTGTGCCGCCTGTGACCGGTGTCTGTGTCTGTGTGCCGCCTGTGACCGGTGTCTGTGTCCGTGTGCCGCCTGTGACCGGTGTCCGTGTCTGTGTGCCGCCTGTGACCGTTGTCGGTATGCCGCCTGTGACCGGTGTCTGTGTCCGTGTGCCGCCTGTGACCGGTGTCCGTATGCCGCCTGTGACCGGTGTCTGTGTCCGTGTGCCGCCTGTGACCGGTGTCTGTGTCCGTGCGCCGCCTGTGACCGGTGTCTGTGTCTGTGTGCCGCCTGTGACCGGTGCCCGTGCGCCGCCTGTGACCGGTGTCTGTGCCCGTGTCCCGCCTGTGACCGGTGTCTGTGTCCGTGCCCCGCCTGTGACCGGTGTCTGTGTCCGCGTGCCGCCTGTGACCGGTGTCCGTGTCTGTGTGCCGCCTGTGACCGGTGTATGTGTCCGTGTGCCGCCTGTGACCGGTGTCTGTGTCCGTGTGCCGCCTTTGACCGGTGTCTGTGTTCGTGTGCCGCCTGTGACCGGTGTCTGTGTCCGTGTGCCGCCTGTGACCGGTGTCCGTGTCTGTGTGCCGCCTGTGACCGTTGTCGGTATGCCGCCTGTGACCGGTGTTTGTGTCCGTGTGCCGCCTGTGACCGGTGTCTGTGTTCGTGTGCCGCCTGTGACCGGTGCCCGTGGGCCGCCTGTGACCGGTGTCTGTGTCCGTGTGCCGCCTGTGACCGGTGTCCGTGTGCCGCCTGTGACCGGTGTCTGTGTGCCGCCTGTGACCGTTGTCGGTGTGCCGCGTGTGACCGGTGTCCGTGTGCCGCCTGTGACCGGTGTCTGTGTCCGTGTGCCGCCTGTGACCGGTGTCTGTGTCCGTGTGCCGCCTGTGACCGGTGTCTGTGTCCGTGTTCCGCCTGTGACCGGTGTCTGTGTCCGTGTGCCGCCTGTGACCGGTGTCTGTGTCGGTGTGCCGCCTGTGACCGGTGTCTGTGTCTGTGTGCCGCTTGTGACCGGTGCCTGTGTGCCGCCTGTGACCGGTGTCTGTGTCTGTGTGCCGCCTGAGACCGGTGTCTGTGTCCGTGTGCCGCCTGTGACCGGTGTCTGTGTCCGTGTGCCGCCTTTGACCGTTGTCGGTATGCCGCCTGTGACCGGTGTCTGTCCGTGTGCCGCTTGTGACCGGTGTCTGTGTCTGTGTGCCGCCTGTGACCGGTGTCTGTGTCTGTGTGCCGCCTGTGACCGGTGTCCGTGTGCCGCCTGTGACCGGTGTCTGTGTCCGTGTGCCGCCTGTGACCGGTGCCCGTGTGCCGCCTGTGACCGGTGTATGTGTCTGTGTGCCGCCTGTGACCGGTGTCTGTGTCTGTGTGCCGCCTGTGACCGGTGTCTGTATCGGTGTGCCGCCTGTGACCGGTGTCTGTGTCCGTGTGCCGCCTGTGACCGGTGTCTGTGTCCGTGTGCCGCCTGTGACCGGTGTCTGTGTCCGTGTGCCGCCTGTGACCGGTGTCTGTGTGCCGCCTGTGACCGGTGTCTGTGTCCGTGTGCCGCCTGTGACCGGTGTCTGTGTGCCGCCTGTGACCGGTGTCTGTGTGCCGCCTGTGACCGGTGTCTGTGTCCGTGTGCCGCCTGTGACCGGTGTCTGTGTCCGTGTGCCGCCTGTGACCGGTGTCTGTGTCCGTGTGCCGCCTGTGACCGGTGTCTGTATGCCGCCTGTGACCGGTGTCTGTGTCCGTGTGCCGCCTGTGACCGGTGTCTGTGTCCGTGTGCCGCCTGTGACCGGTGTCTGTGTCGGTGTGCCGCCTGTGACCGGTGTCTGTGTCCGTGTGCCGCCTGTGACCGGTGTCTGTGTCCGTGTGCCGCCTGTGACCGGTGTCTGTGTCGGTGTGCCGCCTGTGACCGGTGTCTGTGTCCGTGTGCCGCCTGTGACCGGTGTCTGTGTCCGTGCCCCGCCTGTGACCGGTGTCTGTGTCGGTGTGCCGCCTGTGACCGGTGTCTGTGTCCGTGTGCCGCCTGTGACCGGTGTCTGTGTCCGTGCCCCGCCTGTGACCGGTGTCCGTGTCCGTGTGCCGCGCAGAGCTGCGTATCCAGTCGGAGACGCACGACTCTGTGGAGGACGCGCGCACGGCGCTGGCGCTGTACCGCTGCTACGAGCGACTGCGCGCCCAGGGCGGCGCGGCGCTCGGCGACGCCATCCAGCGGCTGTACGAGGCGGGCCGACAGGCCGGCTGGAAGGTGCCCACCGACGACGGCGACTGAGCCGCGCTGAGCTCACCCAGAGCGAGACAGAGGCGCGTGCCGTGCTCCGCGCCACTGCCCGCCCGCGCGGCTCCGTCCGCCCTCCAGGCCACTGGGCAGCCGCCGGCTGGCTGGTACAGTGCGGCCGCTGGGCGCCACGCGGCTCTCAACTCTGTGAGAGCCCATGCACTGAGTTTCGAGAACCGGCACATCCGTCGCTGGTTCACAAAATAGTTTGAAATAGGTGCCGGGTCTCTATTTGGCTGCCGTGGAATTACAGATATATGATGACCATTTTATGCTTTGTGTGAGTCTGAAAGCTCATTGTTTTTATGCATTTCATCCGCTGCGACTGATTATGACATCGTGTGTGTGCGTGTTCGTGCACGTGTGCGGCGCGCGCGCACCATGCTGCTGTAATACACGGGAGCTGCGCGCACCATGCTGCTGTAATACACGGGAGCTGCGCGCACTGGAGGGTATCGATTCGAGGGGTTTTCTCATTGGGATGGACCATGGACCTTTTACACATTTTCCTTCAGAGGCCTGTTTCACTAAGAAATAAAGTTCGCAATTACAAAGAAAAAACTTGAGTTTAAAAGACATAATTACCGACATTTGAGCTTTGGATTTCACGAAACCTCCTAGTATGAATTTTGAGTTTACAATTTCCAAACCATTTTACAAGAAGTTTGTAAGAAACATTGAAATCGCAAACTTTCTGTTTCACGAAGACCACAAACTTGAATGAAAACGTTGTACTTACAAACCCGAAATTTCAGTGGTCCTGACGTTCGGATTTTTTTTTTTACCAAATTATACTGCCGGCCAAATGACCACACCCTCCCCTAGCCCAAGACCTTTTAATTGGGTAGCATGGGCTCCCTCTTGTCAAGGGGAGAGCACTCGTTTTTTTTTTCTGCAAAACTTAAGTTCGGTCGGAGGCCGAACGGCTTGGGGTCTAATCCCCTTCTTACGTCAGCGGGTGTAAAAATGCCAATACGGTTGACTGTTAGGACATGGAAGTTGCTTTTGCATGAGTGCACGAAAAGGTTTTACCTACTTGATACATGAAAGATTCTACATGAAAATTGAGATAGGTACACCAGCTTATGAAATCGTGCTTACTGTGGTGCGTTTTACCTTGACTTATTTCGTTTATTTTAAGTTTGCCCCTCACTGTAAACGTCTCTTTGAACCCCATCAGGGCGCGGGTTAAGGCTGAGTTACACAATGCTTGACCATCCAGGAAATAACGTGCGTGATCTGCAGAACCGTGATTGCGAGACTCCCTTGACATCGGTTTCTGCGATTTTCCAGAATTTTCCGTGAATTATTGTATGCTGACGTAATAATAACTAATAAATGGTTTCGTAACAAACGCTTAAGTTTGCTATCTTCTATACTATTTTATTGATAATTAGTTTATTTTGTTAATAAATCAAAAACACATGAAAATTAAAGAAACAATTATTAATTAGGTACGTCACTTGGATTCATACGGTGCGCCACCAAGTGCGCCATCAACTGTCTCATATCACGCAATCTCGCAGATTCTGAAAAAAGTTCGTAGCTCTGAACTTTATATCGGTACGGAACATCCTGACCGTCCCGACTATCCGGCATTTCCTGTACTGAACGTCCGGGATTTCCTTGACTGAATCTGCGTGACCCCAGTGTAGCCGACCCTGTGTACCTATTTCCTATCAGCTGAACTTGACCTGCGTAGGTACAGATTTTCTGCAAAATCCGCAAACTCGCAGATCACGGACGTAGGATCCCGCATAGTGTAGCTAGACCTTTACGCTACTATCAGCCACTGCGTAGCTGTCGCCCAGCGCATGGGTCTCGTGGTCTCGGTGCGGATTTAGCCAACTACCGGCTCGCGACACCAGCGCCGCGCTGTGGCGAGGGACATTCTTTTTAGACATATTATATACATACGACATACGACGGCGGCTGTGTGTGCGCTCTGGCCTGCCGACAGCGGTGCCGGAGCGGAGCTGGCGCCGCCGGCCCCAGCGCTGCACCGAGCCGTGATCGGACGGCGTGTTTGCGTTAGACATTCCAGCCGGCTGTGTGGGCCCAGAGGGGAGAGCTGCTCGACTCGGCCCGTCCTGTCGATCGGCGCTGGACGCCGCTGGCGTGCCTCGGCAGTTGGCCGACGGCCCGGCGCGCCGCCGAGCCGGCCGGCCGCGCCGCCGGGCGGAGGGCTCGGCCACCGCTGACTGGGATGAGCCGGCGGCCCCGCGCCACTGACAGCAGAACAGAGCCATCTCCACTGTCGGCACAGCGACACAGCCATGGAGATGGACCGAGGCCGCCGACACAGCCATGGACCGAGGCCGCCGACACAGCCATGGACCGAGACCGCGGCCGCCGACACCACCATGGACCGAGGCCGCGGCCGGCGACACCACCAGGCCGCCGACACAGCCATGGACCGAGGCCGCCGACACAACCAGGCCGCCGACACCACCATGGACCGAGGCCGCGGCCGGCGACACCACCAGGCCGCCGACACAGCCATGGACCGAGGCCGAGGCCGCCGACACCACCATGGACCGAGGCCTTCGACACGTCGACTGGCGTGGCCGCCGCCGCCGCTGCCGTCAGTGTCCGGCGTCCGCTCAACTTTGGTCCAAAAACCTGTACGGAGTCTCCACACAAGTCGCGATAGTGGCGGTGAATTCGATATTTGCGTGGGGGGGGGGGGGATCTAGGTCCCAGACGAGGTGACGTCATAGGCGGTCCTGGCCTGTATTACGCTCTTTTACATTATGTATTACGCTCTTTTACAACATAATGTAGCCCTCGCCGGACCTATTGGTTTTTTACACATCCGTCGGCCGATGGCGGGTTGGTACGACCACCCTCGCCATTTCGCCCCTGATGGAGCTGGAGCGTTGTGGAAAAACGAGCGTATGCGCCGTGTGCACCGAGCGTGCAAAGCAGATGCTTAAGCAGCTTATGAGACGCAGCGACTTGCACTGATTTTTAAGGTCTCGTGTCAACCGGCGAACTCTGAGGTCAGGTCAAATGGACCGAGGCATGGGTTCATTTTTTTAAATAGCTTCGCAAAAACCGACAGTTGCCGGCTGGCCAGATGCTACTTAAAAAACAAATGCGTGTTTAACACTCCAGGCTGACCCGCTGCGAGCCAGCGACCTTTAGATTTCGAGGTGGGTACACTCGGCACACTTACTACTAAGCCACGAAGATAGCTGGTCATCGTAAGCCAGTATTTAATGATGGAATTGGGCATTCTCCGGGCAGCGCCTCTCTTTGGTTGCAAAAAGAAAATACGCCTGACTCTCCCAGCGCCAGGGGCGGATCCAAGGGGGGGGGGTCACATGGGTCATGGCCCCCCCCTTGAGGCCCGGGGGCCCAAAGACCTGCCAGGGGCACCACCGGCCTATCAGGGGTATCTCAGTCCTGACAGGGGCACCACAGGACCGCCAGGGGCACCACAGGCCTAGCAGGGACACCACGGGCCTGGTGCCCCTGGGCCCTGACAGGACTGTAACGCCCCTGACAAGCCTGAAGTGTCCCCGGCAGGCACGTGGTGCCCCTGACAGGCCTGAGGCGCCCCTGCAAGGCCGGTGGTGCCCCTGGCAGGCCTGTGGTGTCCATGGCAGGCCTGTGGTGCCCTTGCTAGGCCTCTGGTGCCCCTGACAGGCTTGTAATGCCCCTGGAAGGACTGTGGTGCCCCTGGGCCCTGACAAGCCTGAGGTGCCCCTGACAGGCCAGTGGTGCCCTTGCTAGGCCTGTGGTGCCCCTGGCAGGCCTCTGGTGCCCCTGACAAGCTTGCGGTGCCCTTGGAAGGACTGTGGTGTCCCTGGGCCCTGACAAGCCTGAGGTGCCCCTGACAGGCCCGTGGTGCCCTTGTTAGGCCTGTGGTGCCCCTGGCAGGCCTCTGGTGCCCTTGCTAGGCCGCTGGTGCCCCTGGCAGGCCTCTGGTGCCCCTGCGCCCGGAGAGGACTGGTGCCCCTGAAAAGTCTGAAGTGCCCCTCGGCAGGCCCGTGGTGCCCCTGACAGGCCCAAGGTGCCCCTGCAAGGCCAGTGGTGCCCCTGGCAGCCCTCTGGTGCCCCTGGCAGGTCTGTGGTGCCCCTGGCAGGTCTGTGGCGCCCCTGGCAGACCTGTGTTGACTGGTGCCCCTGCTAGGTCGCTGGTGCCCCTCACAGACCCGTGGTGCCCCTGGGCCTTGACAAGCCTGAGATGCCTGGCTATGACAGGCTCGTGGTGCCCCTGATAGACCAGTGGTGCCCCTGCTAGGCCGCTGGTGCCCCTCACAGGCCTGCGGTGCCCCTGGAAGGACTGTGGTGCCCCTGCCCCTAGGGGTGCTCATGGGCCCAACAGGCCCGTTGTGCCCCTGACAGGCCTGTAGTGTCCTTGCTAGGCCTGTGGTGCCCCTGCTTCCTGGCGGGCCTGTGGCACCCCTACAAGGCCATAGGTGCCCCTGACAGGTTTGTGGTGTCCCTGGAAGGACTTTGGTGCCCCTGACAAGCCTGAAGTGTCAAGGACAGACCCTTTAGACGCCAGTGTCAAGTTCGTCGGACTGACAACGATTTGCTTACCTGATAACGTTCCTGGTAAGTACTCACTACTCAGCGTCCACAACATATACATATACACATAGCACATTCATATATACTTGCTTACAATTGGTACCTAAATGTGGTTGTGGCTAAGAGGATACTGACTAAAAATAAAAAATAAAAATAAAAAACTGAAAATGGGGGCACCACCAAAATGAAGTGGACGAAATCCGTTGAGTTTTTAATTTTGGGTATAGGTAGGGGCACCACTTCGATTCATGACCCTCCCCTTGGAGTTTTCCTGGATCCGCCCCTGCCCAGCGCTAGGGGAGAAAAGCCCGGTTTAGCCAAAAAAGGTATTTAAAAAAAAACGGAATTTGAATTGTAGGCGGGGAACTTTATCGTGTGCCAATTTCATGGTCCTAGATCAATATATTCAAGATCAAATGAGGTTAAACGTGATCAAATTTGCTATAGTGACTATTTTGCGTTTATACGTCCATAGCTCTAAGAGATACTGGCCGATTTTCCTATTTCTTCCTTTATACATTTATAGTGTTATGAGAATCTCTAGTTAATCTTACCATAAATTTGGCAGTTAGTGGCTTGCTAAGAGTAAGATGTCGCCGGTAGAGGCGGGGATCGGCCGACGCGGGAAACGTCAAAGTCACATATTGTGTTTGCACCCTAATAATTTAATTTTACCAGTTGATTTTCGTATTTATTTGAACATTAGATTGCCTGTACATTTTTAAGCCTTCACACAAAATTTGACACGAATCGATCATAATCAGCGGTAAGAAGCGCGGTGCAAAGATGGAACCGTCCCGCGCCGGCACAGTCTACCATTCAGGCGGCAACGGCCGGCGCCGGCCGCCGAGCCGCTCCGACAGGAATGTTTGACTTTACACCGCTATTACTAGAAAAGTTGTG